GACAATCATACTTGTTTTACCCATGAAAAGCAGGGGCCAGATACTCATCTACCAAAATTGTTAAAGCATCCTGGATTTTTACTGGGTTGGGACAACACATACCAGCTGAGAATCTGACCTCAGGAGTTTTAAGGGCAGCAGTCAAGATAATAAATATCAGTCTCTTGATTTATAATAACCATAAAAAAAAAATGTAATAGGATGGAGAACACATCTTTCTATAATACTGAGTCTGAACATTGCACATTTGATAATAACCATACCTAGAGTGCATCATATACCTATCATCTTACATGTAGGAAGTACCTTTAGGTCACCAATCAATTTAATGTATCTGCTCACATTACTTTTATTTTCATGCTTAGGAAATCACTGACAAACACTCATGTCAGTGTAAATGTTGTTTTTGACTTTGTTAGGGACCAAGCTTAGCCCTTTAAACTGAAAAAAGTTATGTAGTTTCACTATACCTATTCATACATTCTTCTACCAAACTGCTGTCTTCCAGTTTCTAATGTCTTATTCCTCCTATAGGACCAGTGAAAAACCCTTTTTCCTATGTGTAATGCTAGAGGAAAACCATTGCTCTACAGGTTGTACTCCATCAGGCAGATTTGCATTTTCATCAGTTATACTAGTAACTCTTGGAATACCCAAAAGATTCTCAAATTTGAATAAAAACAGAACAAATAATGTCATCTAGGTAAAGAAAGAGACTGTTCTCAGGCAAAAACTGATCGATATTGTTCGACAATACTACTTAATATTATGTAATTTTGTGTGTGACATTTGTGTCAATGAAGATCCATAGGAATAAACAGTTAATGCTCAAAACACCTCCTGGTTACTTTACTATAAACAATTACCCTCTTGAAACTCTTGAGGATTTCCCACAAGATCGTTGAAGCACAGAATTAGTGTTGTGGTGGCTGGTATAATGACTGTTCCACAACATTTCAAAGAATGAATAATCAGTCAATCAAGTCATCACCCTCTGGGAGCATGCTGCCCTTTGTGCATGAGTTAGACCCACAAATACCATATCCATCAACACACCATCCTCTTTTCCTCTTCTGCTTCCTTAGCATTTCCTGTAGGGCTGAACTCTCCAAATAGGGTCCTCCCTGACAATAGGCATCATAAAGTTCTATATTAAGAGTTTACAATTTACTGTATCCAGAGGCATTACTGGCAATTTTGGCATCCTGGGAGGCACAGAGGAGGCACAGTTGTTGCTGTGAGGTCTAGTGAGGTACTGACTGTATCTTACTCTTTCCACAAAGGCCCTGTGGCCCAGGTAAAAAGGTGGAAGAAACAAACTAAACATTCTCCCATGACCTATAACACTAAGGCTTAAAATTGTGGACTTCTCTCTGTACTTTCAAATGGCACAAGGCTAAGTTTCTGTTTCCCTGTTTTGAATTCATACGGTCTCTGCTTTCTGTCACAGCCAGGACTATAGCTGTTTCCCTGTGGTTTGTATTATTTCTGACACAGGAATTGATTTGCTGTTCTTGCACTCAGGGTAGCAAGATACAGCCCAGTTGTAGTGCTTTCTCTGAATGGTGTCTAGAGATGGGCAGAAAGATAATGAAGCCCAGTCTGTCTACTTGGAGTAAACTTGGCTGTAGTAGTATGTGCTAGCACTGCTGCAGTTGAGGAGCAGGTTCAGCAGAGGGAACCAGAATGCCTCTGTCCTGTCCTTCCTTTCCTGCCCCCCATGGGTCTTTGCCCATAGCAGCAGGGCAGTCCTGTCTGCCTGCCTTCGTGTATGGGTGGGTGGGGTTGAGTTGAATGATGCCCCTCCCTGGGATTTTTGCCATGGGAGGTGCAGGGAAATTCTCTACACTGACTTTGGCACTTGATCCTGACTTTGACTTCATCTCTGTACTCTTGGCTGGTTATTCCTGGCTCTGAGCCCCTGCTTGCAGAGGCATAGCAGGGCAGCTCCATGCATGGTGCAGTGCTAGGCTGCTGTTGTGCAGATTGTGGTAGCGTGTTCAGCTATTACTCTGATGATAGCTATTTTCGTGCTCCTCCCTGCCCCTCAGTTATGCTACTTCGTTTGCTTCTGTTCCTGTTTTAACCTGCTGACCTAAGCAATGTCATGCCCTGATTTTGCCTTGACCCTTGGCTTAATATCCTGACCTCAGACTGACACCCGGCTTGACCACACCCCGTGTGTGACCCATTTGAACCAACTGCCTACACCCTGGTCCACCTAAACAGTTTATATAGACTAAAATAATACAAGGGTTCATGATCTTCTGGGTCCATGGATTTCCTTGCAGGTGCCCCTCTCCGTAGAGGATTTGGTAACTGAACTGTGGGAAATGCACATCCAGATGGATACCCTGCAGGAATAGAACAAGTCCATGCAGACTCATGTAGAAACCTTGCAACATTTGTATACAAGCAAATCCTTGAACATAGTTCTTCTTTCCATTAACTATATTTTTATTTCTCATTCTATTTACTAGCCCTTCATACTACTGTCGTGTGCGAAGAATGATGTTCAAACTCTAAATGTGGAACGCTGTGTATGCCTGGGATAGTCAGACCTTCAGCTTTATTTCAAGGAAGATGTTGGTGCTTAATCACTTTTGTGCTATTCATTTTAAAGGTTTTATGTATTTATATATTTTATTTATTTATTTATTTTAAGCTAGCGATGGATGACAATGGCATTTACGTTAAAATAACTCCCTTAGAATTATGGTATTATGAGCTCAATAGTACTTAATCCATGGATTATTCTTGGTATGATAAAAGCATTATATCCCTATTGTTCCTGTCAGCTTGTGATGATTAGGACCTCTAATACATAGATTATTGATGTGATCTATTGTGGCCCATTGTGTCAACTCATACTTAGGAAACTGTGCTTTGAAAGATTTTTCTCTGGAGTTGTTATGGCCTATTGTGACACTTGAGATTTGTATTAATTTAAACCAGAAACCACATTATGTGTTAGTGCAGCATGCATGCAGATGAAAGGCTTGTACCTGTATGGCAATCTAGTCTGAGGACATTTTCAGGAGCAAGTGTTTAGTAGTGAATATTTCATCTTTCATCTTTTTCAGGGCTATGCATTATACTATATATTCACCTCAGCTCTGGCAGTACAACAGTCCCAAAAAGTTAGGGCATAATCCTACAAATATCCCATGGATTTCATATTTTGCTTGAGGTCTTGTTCATGCCTAAGTTATGTTATTTGATGGTTTTCCTTTATACTAATATTAATACTGTTAGGTTTTTTTCATAAAAAAGTCTTACAAATCAACAAAGCTAATGAAATTAACATGGCTACAGGAAGCAGTGGAAAAAAACCAGTATATTTCTGTGTTTCTGAGGAATGTGTATTTTTTCAATTTTAACAATTTATAAGTAATGTGAAAATTTGCAGAACTTCAGTGGATAAAAGTTTTACTGGCTGCCATCATCTGAAGACCTGGGGACAGGTATATTACAGTAAGTTTACTGTTGAATTTTTAAAGGCATTAAGAGTTTATATATTTTTTACTAAGCACATAGAAGTACAACTTTGTATTACATATGCCAGGCTTGCAAAATTATGTATCTACAAGCCATGTTGTTAAAAAAAAAACCCTTACTTTTATGTTCAGATATTGTACAATACGCTTTAGTTTTTAAGAAAGAGCTCTGGATTTGTTAATATCAGGCTTGAGAACTATAAATACCGATATTAGCCTAGTTACAGCTATATGATGATCACACCTAGAACTATATTCTATTTTTGCTAATTAAAAGCTCACCTGAAAAAAATATACTATGAAGGACAGAGCTGAGTTGGAAACAGTTTCTTTTTCCATAGACATTTTCAAGGTTTCAAAACTGTTCTCCTTCTGTATTGTGTTAAAAGTATGACCTTTCTCAATTCTTCACAGAAGGCAGACAAAGAGGTAGAACAGTCTCCTCATCCAAAATATATAATGACTGGTGGTTAGGCACTTGTATGTGTTCTGGGATACCAGATTCCCCATTTTTGCATATGAATACCTGAATCACCAGGCTGTGATCTCCCAGCCAGCTCAAATGAAAGATGCAGCTGAAGAACAATTCTGTCCTCCTTATAGTGTGCAGCAATTGCTACCAAGCTGTAGTGGTTGTGGGGATAATGAAAGTTCTGAGGAATGTTCATATTGACTCACCTATTTTATTTTAGTCAAAAAGCAAAAGTCAAGAAAAAATAAAGGCAATAGTTGAAACAATATCTGCCCTCCTATGGGAACATAAGCATATTTTATACACGAAATTCTGGTACTCTTAGGGTTACAAAGTCAAATGAGAAAGTCAAATGAGACTACTCAAGAAGAGTAACTGTATTTAGTATGAGGAAGGTTATAAAATCCAACCCTAAAATATTAATCATATTTGACTATCAATGCCATATATGAAAATTATAAAAAAACTCTGATTCTCATACATGTGTAATAGATTTAGGAAATCTGAGGGTGCTTTCATAGTAAGGACTAGATATAAGAATATATAATGTTTATTAAAATGAGCTTGATTATCTCTTCTTTGATATGTGGCTTATTAAGTTAAAGGTAAACCAATATAAATCAAGAACAACTGAACTGACTTCAGTGGAGTTACTCTGGACTTGCATTAGTGTAACAGAGCAGAATATAAACTGACATATAAGACTTTTTCATATAAGTACTTTACTGAGCCTTGATGCAAAGATTTTATACATGATGCTTCAGTAAAGCAACATTTTGGAAGGATCTGAAAATAACCATCATAACCAATGGTAAGTAAGTACAACAATATTTTTAGATATTGCATATATACACATCTTGAGTAATTGTTTAGTATTTAAGAACATCCACTTATAATTCATACCTGTTTTGCCACAGCTGGCTATATTTCTATATTGGCTTAATCCAGACTAACTTGGAAGGGTAGCATCCAATAAACAATACATACTTCCACACATCAAACCTCTTATGAAAAGATGGAAGGACTCTTACCTAGCATGCGAACACATTTGGCATTCTGATCAGGACTATCAAATGAGATTTCTCCACACCGCTGTAAAAAAAGAAAAAAAGAAAAGGTGGGTATAGTTAATCAAAGATTCTGTTGTCTTTATTTCCAGTCAGGAATGGTGATGGTATAAATATCAATCATTCACTATCAGAGGTCCTAGTAAGAGGCCTTTCCAGTAGTCGTATATTTAGAATGAACATAGGACTGAAAGGATCCTCCCAAGTCATCAAGTTGAACCCCCTCTGTTCATAGGCAACAATTTATTCCAAAATAATGAAAGTCATCCAGTCCAAACCCTCATGCACAACTAAAAAGCACAAAGGCAGAAACATCAGGGACAGCCTACAACATGCCGTAAGTAAAAGCAGCAGAGATAAAGGCACTGATGACATCTTTCCGGTGCAATGGCAGAGAAATAATTGGTTAATACATGCTCAAAGGATCCTAAACAGAGGAGCACTTCCCATGCTACAGAGGACGGCAAAACCACAACTGTCCTTGCCAATCTGACCTATGGGAATTTCTTTCTTGCCCCTTTTGAATATAAATTCCTAAAGATACATCTCCAATAGTTTGTCCGTATATTCATTTGATTATACTGTAGGGAGATAAGGACACCATAAGACTGTAACATTTTTGAGGAGAAATTGTATTTGTAAAACACAATTAATTTATAGCACTCCATGTCTTTGATCATTAATAATCTATAGAAGCTTATGCAGTTTCCATGGGATATATTTAGGCTGACCATATGGAAATCCTAGAAATCCAGGACATCACCTGGGAAATCCAGGACACTGTTCCCCTACCCCCTGCACACTCACAAGTCAGCAGGGGGGGGAAGGTAGGCAGCGGTGCCTACCTTCCCGTCTACAAGACTGTCCATGCCACTCCAACTCCTGACCAGACTGCAACCCATGCCCCTGGACACCCGTTATAATTCCCAGCAGTCAGCCGGGATCAGCCTCTGAAATCCAGGATTGTCCCAGCTAAACCAGGACACAAGGTCATCCTATCTATCTATATCTCAGGTAATACAGTATACTTTTTAAAGGATCCTGTTCATACTACAGAGTCCTTTATTCTCTTACTTAGGAAGCAACTGGCTTTCAAATTCTTGAGAACATAATTTATAGTAAATATGAAAAATATAAGCATGTTTTTTAAAATGATTTTGAAGAAAAGTACACTTTCTTCCACTTCTTTTATCAAAATAAAGATAGGCTTTTACAGTAATACTAACATGTTAATGAACAGCTAAAAAGAAATCTAAAATGATTTTTCTGTTTTTCATAAAAGAAAGTGAGACACAGGATTATGTAAGTAACACAAGTTTAGAGAATAAGTCAGTGTCACAGTTAGAATTAAGAGTACAGGAATGCCTCGTCCTAGGCAGAGACAATTGCTATATACTTGGGTCCTATGCAAAGAAATGCATAGTCTTATCTTGAAATTGCTATTCATCTATAATACTGGGAATAATACAAAAGCAGGGGCAGCTTAGGGGTCTGATCCAACTATCCATCTATTAAAACCAATGGAAAGACTCCTGCTGACTTCAGGGGTGGTTAGACTGGAGTCTTAGAAAGATCATTATTTCTACATCACTCTATCCAGGCCCATGGCAATAGGTTAACTAGGAGTAAATTTAAGAACTAAATCATAAACCAGCAATGCAAGAGGGGGCCTCATGTTATTCTAAATAATTTATAGTCTGGAGTGCCAATATATCCAGGACACAGCAAAAGTGATCATTACTGAGCAGTTCTGACTAGGCAGTCAAACTCCCTCTTCTCCTTTCTGTTTTTCCTCTCATTTAATTTCCTTTGACGTTTTCAGTACTTTTTTATGTACAGTGAAATAAGTGCCTTCACTTGTATTGTTTCATAGCCAGTGACTGTTATAGCAGGGACCTGAACTATAAGTCATCAGATAAATAGAAGAGGCTTAAGAGAAGATGATACAGAGCAACAGCACCATAATTAGAAGAAACACTTGGAAACAGCCATTTTTAAACTACGCCTTGCTTCCTCCACACCAAAACAAATACAAACAAACAAACAAACAGCCCTACTCCCACGTCCTGCCACTTCAGTACATTTAAAATGAGCAACCCGATGCCCTGTATTAACCCCCCAAGCTTGCAGCCTTCTCCTTCAGCTTGTTCTCCCGAAAGATTGAAAAGGAAAAACAACATTGATATTTCAAAGAAAATTTTAGGAAAGTTCCAGCCCCAGTTCCTTCACAACAGACTCAGAAATGTGCTTTTTACCCCTTGGTTTACAGAATTTAGGCATAGCTGTCCTATCTTAAAATTGTCCAGCTCTTCCTTTCTCCAAAGATCAGCGCATTTCATAAAATACAGGGGATGCAACAAAATGCAGGAGCTCAGTGGAACAAATTCTCCCTCTCCCTCAAATATGTAAGGTGCTTCCTTTCCCCATACACAACTACCTATTCTAACAGTGAACCACAAGAACATTTTTCAACCACACCTGCACCTGTTTTACATCAGTATTGGCTTGTCTACAAGTGGAAATAGACTGGAATAGCTGCAGAAGAATGCTGTATCCTGCATGGCTTTTTGAGCATAAGAGTTTATCCCAGAATAAATTCCAGTAGACTCTGGAAGCACACTATTCTGAAATAAGGTAACGTCTGACATGAAATAGGGTGCCTACCTGGGAAGATGTTCTGGAATAACTAGTTACAGGACAGGCAAGCTATTCTAGTCAATATTCTGATTTTGTTCAAAGAGTACTTATTTCAAAAGTATTAATTTGCTGAAGGCAGTTGTTATTCATTTAGCAGTATTTTACTTTGCTTAGTCTTCCTAATTTGAATGTTCCTACACAGTTAATTAGTCATCATAAATCAAATTCCCTTTTCTATATAAAAGACATTATATAAAAGACATTCAGATATGCTCTACTATATTTATGAATCATGAAGAACAGTATTCACATTAGAAGAGTGAAGAGGCTACAGCTCTGAGGCATGAGAGTAAGCCCTGCTAAAGGCAGCCCACAGTTGACCAAGCAATATATGGGTACCTGGTCAATTAGGCCCCCTCTACATGTGCAGCTAAAGGCACATGGGATCTAATGTGCGATTCACACAGTCATGCCACACATGCATTAGATACCATTGTGCCTTATTGCTGGTATAGGGGGGGCTGATCCCAGGCTAGGGTGGGAGAATCATCCCTGCAATGATCCTTCCACCCTGGGGTTTCATGCACACCAGGGGCAGAGAGATCACTGCAGGGGTGATCCTCCTGGCGTAGAAGCTTCATACACCTCCAGGATGGGAGACATCTCTGGGAGGCATGCTGCAGGGACCCTGTATGAAAGGACCTCAGAAGCTGTGGATCTCTGGGTCCCAGCACATGGGGGGGGGGCTGCTGCTGGGCCCACACCTGACAGGGCTCCCAAGAGAGACCCTGCTACACATGCAAATTAAAACCAGCTATAAAATTAGTATGCATTTTCAAGGTCTAACTTTATAGCTGGTTGGAGCTTTTTATTGTGTGAGAAGTATTTTATACATGTAGCTGGCCTCCAGGTAATTGTTTAATTAACCAGTTAATTGCACGATACTTGTAACAAGTAGAAGGGGCCTTAGGGGTAGAGAGTCCAAAGTGGGTAGAAAGTGATGTTAGACATATCACTTCATTGTGTGCTACTGGCTATTAGAAACTACTGTGCCTTAACCACACTAGTCTGACAGGCTGTGTGGCTCAGGTAGACCTTTAACCTTAAAAGCATAAGCAGAAATTAAAAACAGACTGAAAGAGTATTAAATATAAACAACTCTTCAAAACTTTTCCAACCCTGGGGCAAACCTTGCCCTACTGCATACTGCACAAGTAATATCATAACAAGATGGAATTTGTTCTGGGTTTGGGAGATCCGGCTATTGTACATAACTGTGACAGGGTGGTCTGCAATAGGACTCCATATGTAGAGTTATTCTCTTGACTCACTTTGGAAGTCAGACCAGAGGAGTCTTAACTGAATTAATTTATCATTTTAAGTCTAAGTGCTTCTCCCGAGAAATGGAAGAAGAGGAAGTCCTGCAGGAGAAGCCCTAAAAATAAGCCAGTCTATGGTCTATTTTGCATTCTTTGCACGTAGATTGCTTCAGGGTAGAGCTGGTCACAAATAAACAAATAAGAATTTCCATCTCTAGCTTGGGCTTCCTAGACAGACTACATTTTCCCTGGAGCACTGTGGCAGTTCAGCCTGAGGGTAGAATATAATGAATCATAGGACATATAGTCTTACCAGGAAGGCTGGCTCTTGGAGGTGGATATGGGCCAGGAGACACCCTGCCTCAATCCAAAAGAGGCATCATTGCCAATTTAATGTTAAGGTGACCCCAAATTAGATCTTCTTATTTGTTTGGAACCAAGATATTTTAAGTTGGGTTTCCTATTCCAAAATGAAATATTTTATTTTGATCAGTACAATGGACACCTGAGAAAAGTCAACAAAATCTCCCCCACAGAACATTTTGTATACAAAATTATAATACATTCTTGAAATTAAAATGAATTTCTTGAAATGAATTAACAGAGAATTTTGTTTTTTACGTAATGTATCTGAAGTCAGAAAGTGAAATACTGACATCTTTATAGTCAGTGATAATTTTGCCACTCATTTCAACATAGCCCAGATTTTGCACAAAGATAATAGGGAAACTGCAGGAAAGAGAAGAATTGTGGACAGTACTTCAGACGGTAAAATTAATTTGCCTATACCCCTGGGATACTTTGCCTATGTACCCGTGGCTCACATACTGTAAAAGAACAGATCTTCATTGGTATAAATGACCTAGTTCCATTGAAGTCAGTGGTGTTACCCACTTTTACACCAGCTGAAGATCAGGCCAATACCCAGGGGAAAACATACTCTCTTTGAAAATTCTTGCGTATTTTTTACTCAGTCCCTCAAGCATACCACTATATGTTCCACGCATATCTGTATAAGATAAAAATTGAGATTTATAAATAATGGTTGCTTTGTAAGTCCATTATGATA